CCAGACGCTATACCAACTAAGCCACGGAACGAACCAGCAGACCTCACGAATGTTTCTATGTGCTTGCGTCGTATCTTTGTATTTGGTTTTTTCAATGACTTTTTAGTCGTAGCGCCATCTATGAGAAATCTATGGAAGTATTGTGGCCTTGTACTAGCGTGCAATGAGCCATTCTTTTTTTTTTTTAGATTGCGCCGTTATTTTTTTTATTTGCTCACAAATAAAATGTCAAATTTTCGAAAAATTCCTGACCGTGAAAATGTACAATCAGAATTTACTAGTGGCCTCAAGAACTAGCTTAAGATATAGGGATTGTTACAAATAAAATTGTAGTGTTGCAACTATTGTAACATCTTCATAAATTGACATGATGTGCACTGAGTCACTAACAACCAAAATTGACAATTTGTTTCATAGTCATTATTCGAACAATTTTAACTTAATTTCTCAAAAAAAAACATGAGTTCAACTCAGATTTACTTTAATTATTATCGAACCAACCTCTAATATCCGTAATGCAAACGAAAAGAAAATGTTCAGAAACAGCTAAAATTGTAGCCCTATTGATACCAAGACCTTTCATTTAACACTACAATTTTATTTATAAGCAATCCCTACACCTTAAGGTAATTTTTAAGGCGATTAGTAAATTCTGATTGTACATTTTTCACAGTCAGTTTTGTTGATAAACAAATAAAAAATCTCTTAAATGTCTAAAATAACGGTGCAATAATTAGATTTTGTACGTACACAAAAATGGCTCATTGCATGCTAGGTAATGCACACTACTTCGATACCAAGTTTCAATTAATTTAGTGGAACAGTTTTAAAAGTCAGTGTACTTTTTTTATGTTTTAGTGACTAGAGTTGAAAGTTATCAAAAAAGTACATACAAAATTATAACTTATAAACCACTGATTTTCGCAGAACTAATGTTAATTTTAAATGGGTCGTTACAATGTCCTATATCTAAAAAAAATATGGACCACTGTAAATGGGCCTGCACTGTAATGTGAGAAAGAGAACTTTATATTGTGCACTGAAGTTAATAATCGTAAGATTTGCAAATCGTGACATCGTCCAATCATTTGATTAGCGCCATTTCTCTCACACAGCTATTAGTCATGCATACTTGCTTGTCCGCGTGACGCAATGGCAACAGTAGAGTAGCAGTATAACAACAACTGCAACAGTTGTTCGATAATGAGACTACCATGAAACTTTTGTGAGTTGTTGTGCCCATGCCCACATTCGACCCCACTGCTTGGCATTTTTCTCCATTAAGTTAAAGTGCCATGTCATCATTATTATTCAGCTGATTATAGTAAAATTTTCATGAGTTACGTTCGTGAGTGTCTCTAGAAAAGATTCAGGCCATAGACCACCACTGGCCCCTATACAAGTTGAGAACTTCACAAATTTTCAGTGGCATTGCAGCACATGCTAGATGCAGATAGTGTCACATGAAAGTGACGTTATAAATAACCTAATATACTAATATAACAAACATACTATGTTATAAAATCACTTGCAATGTATACTTATAAAGTAAAGTAAAATAATATTGACTGATCAAGTACTGACTTGACTGATATTAGATATTTATATTTTATTAATTAATGGCATCTTCCTGTCGTGAAATGTTACATCAGTCACGCTTCATTTTTTTATTCTTATGGCTTAAGTGTATGGATTGTTCGACATTAAACACATTTCCTATTCAAATAAATTGTTTGATGTACTAGTTACTATGCCTTGTATTCAGAGGTTCGATTACACTTATGAATACATCAATGTCCAAAAGAGCTTTTGTTTTGCCAATTTAAAAATCAAACATTGTAGGTGTACTGCACTTTTAAACAAATAATATCGAATCAAAGGTAAGATTCCATTGTAAGCCACTTGCTATGTTTTGAATTCTATTTACATTCTACGTCTTTCTCGGATTTCATTACATATGTTAGTGCTCTTCCAACAGAAATGTATCTCATATAACATATTTCAGATTGGTGGGTGATCTACTTCTGATGGAAATCTGGGAATGCTTATCTCAAGGTTACATGAGGTTGAGAAACCAAAATATTGGTATAAAGATGACCATAGGATCTTTGCCGCCTGTGCCTACGCAGGATCGCGCGTACGAATTATTCAACATTAGTGTTGACTGTAAGTAATAATAATTTATACAGAGTGTAACATAGAGACGTAATAATATTAAAGGATCCAGACTCAATTTAATTATTTACTTACTTATTTAGTTACTAACTTTTTTTATTAAAAATGAGCAAGTGCGCATTTTACCGCCATCTCACCTGATGTAAAGAGTCTAACTAATGTCTGCTCACTCTTGCCTACTTATTTAAGTGTTAAATCGGTGTATCTGCGTCACAACTGTATTGCAAACCCGAGACTAACAGAAATTACGAATAGATCATACACAAAAAAGTCATTCATGGGAGCAATAAATAAAGTGCAAAACAACAATCCCCTAAAAATAAATGCTGTTAACTTACCCTATTAAGTTACCTAATAGGGTAAGTTAACCTATTAGGTTAGCTAATAATATCATTTATTGCCAACTTACGTTTTCGGGTAGACTTAGGTATTATAAAACAGTAGTAACTAGTACAATACACAGGTGATGAATGTCCCCATACATATAGTTGTACATTATTTATGAACACGTGTTTATTTATTACAATTTTGCAATGGTGGGTAATCAGAACTATGTGAACCGTTCCACGTGCTCGTTAATCATGTATATGCTTATTGTAATTCACTGTTCATGGTGTATCTAACAATATTTACTTAATCACTACATGCAGCGCTTACGCATAATTATACACATTTGCAACGGCTCAGAATGCATTAGTACAGGGTATATGGAATGTTTCAAAGGCCACTTCGATGCTCCGTGTGATCTCTTATTGCGCTCTCATACTCCTCTGCATAGACAGCATTTTTGACATTTGGTTCAACCGGCCTTCATGTCTGGAGCCTTTGAACGATCCACTAATTTATAGTCGTGGCATCATCCTCCTAAAACATTCCAGCGCAGGCTAAGAGCAGTTACTCACGGCGAGTTTACAACGCGCGACAGCATCGATATAATTGATATAATCGGGCGTCGCTACACTTGTGACTTATAAGCTATTTCATCAATGCAATGGCGCGTTTGTATCGATGCAATCATGCCGTTGTATCGGTGCAGCCGCGCATCACCACTAAGGCCAACGCCTCCCAATAAATTTACCAACGTTGGTGCAAGTTGGCTGGGTGAAGGCATAGTATCATTTCAAAGTAATCTAACTAGCTAAGAAGGTACAAACTTCGAATAAACTAAATTATGTAAAAAACCCCGACTGCAAAAAAATACTGAAAAGAGATCTTTTGCTTCAGCAATGTAGAATGCACTACGGATGCGATGTGTTTTGTTCAGCACCTACTTACTTAGGCGAATTATTAATTATGGTCATTGACATACTTAGGAATATATATGAATATGCAGTTGACACCCGATTTAAACAAATAATAAAATATATTGTAATATAACTTGGATTTTATTAGGAGTGCAGGCGGTGATAAACAATTGGGTTTTATTTTTTAAATCATTTTGCTTATTTCAAACTTTTAGTTTATTATGGAACAAGTTTTCCAATAAAGTATTGGTAAGTAAATTGTTATCTTTAGTTTACCGTACAGCTTGTACAGTGAACCAAAGATAGCAGATTAAGGCGCATCATTTGCCGTGCAATGTCGACCACAAGATACCTCTTCAAATTGTTCGCAACCCTGGTGACAAGACCCATGCAAACTGTGTTGGTCACTTCTCAATGGTTTGAAATGATTTTGTGGCTCATCTCTTAACACTTTACTATGTAAAGTCACGATAGCCTCCATTATACTTGATCGCAGCTCTTCATTTATTATATTTAAACTGATTCGTTTAAATATTAAAACTGTTTTCTGTTTGGTCAGGTGCCAGTTATGTTTTGATGTATGTGTACCCGTGTTCATGTTCGCTTCTTGTAAGACATCTATGTTTGCTTTTTTTGCTGGCGTAGCTGCACCTCATACGTTCCAGGTCTGTATTCTGTGTCATCCGGCTGTTCTTCTGGGATGTTGTGGAGTACTCGAAGATCCGACTTATTACAAGACTATCGTAGTGGTTTCCATTGAAGGTAAAGTTGTGATGCTACCCACTGCATCATCGGTTTTTGGAGTGAAAGTTACTGAAGGTGCTGAAGTGTTGTTTCATTGGTATACATTGACATCTATGTGGTAGAATTCAACGGCCGCTATTAAAATAGTAGTTCCTCCCCACTGTCCGTCTTGGTATTGTGGCATAACGTACATATGGCGTAGGATTTTTTCATCATCTTCACTGTAGTTAAAGTTGCTTCTTTTACGACTGGGTTTTCCTGGTTCTCGTCTACATAACGGACTAGGTCCCTTCTTATTGCGTGGTGGTCAAAGGTAGTATAGAGTAATTCACTTAATTGGTGAGCAATTGCGTACGTTTTCAGAATACGCAGTATCCATCCGCGTACATGTGAACTATAGAGGTATTTGTGGGGATGTCCATCATTTATTTGATTGATGGTATTAAATAATTTAATATTGAACACCATCAACGTTCTCAACAACACTACCTAACCACTTACCCAAATAACTAACTACCTTTACTACCTACTATCTGTCACGCGCTGCAAAGCCGGTAGGAGTCTGGCCACCGGTTGCGGCTGGTTGGTCTTCGCTCCACAATCAAATTTAAGAGCGCTTAAACTGTGCCCCCTGGTACGTCGTGTAGTACCAATGAGCACTTCGGTGGCGCATGTATTGCAACAATTAATACGATTAGGAGCGGTCGGGGATATGGCCATTATAGTAGCAGGTAGTACGCTATGCGACTGTTTCTTATACAAAAGCTTAACATTCCACATCCGCTACTTGAAAAATAACGTCATCGAATGTGGCATCGTTATTTGTAAACAAGTACCGCCTGATAAGGGACTGTGATCTCATTAGACGTTAATCTTTGTTCACGTGCGATTTATGATTAATTATTACGAGATAACATTGCATGCTATCGCAAGCATTCGAGTCGCATAGAGCAAACGAACGGGGAGTCGGTTCCGACTGATTTTTTTTACAACTACATTTTGTTATTTAATGTATGTAACATGTTTAATTAGATAAGGATTAATACTATGTCATCCAGAATACAATCCAAGACTTTTTTGTTTTAAAAAAAAATTGTAATTAATTATTACGCTGGGTAATTTAGAAAAAAACTATGTTGACCAATCTAGAATGGTTTGACATGAACTAGTTTTTTTTAAATTGTAGTTTATTATTATACTAATCACTATTTACTTATTGCCCTTCGACGATAGTAATGTTTTATATGAAAATATAAAATTTATGTAACTTCTCAGTAATTATCGAGTTCTTAGGCTTTCGCGATTGTTATACATAGGAAGTGAAACTATTTTTCCGGATTTAAATCGCGTATTTGTTTTTTCAAACAAACCAACGTTTCGGGCCCATGTCCATGTCATGGGACCGTGCCCTAGTCAACCGTGACCATGGGACATGGAAAGGACCCGAAACGTGGGTTTGTTTGACATTGCTTCGCCCACACAGGAGTCATGGTGGTCTTAAATTATTGATACAGTAGTCATCTACCCAAAAAATTAAACTACGAATTGTCGATATTCCAAAGATTCGCACGAAACATGCTTCCGTATTGATAAGACGAATGGCTACGGAGTGAAATTCCCTGCCTGCAGACTTATTCCCTGAACGTTATAACTTGGGCATTTTCAAGGCGAAAGTGAATAGGCATTTTTTAGGTATGCATGCTCCGTCGCCGACTTCATCGTCAGTTTCCACCGGGTGAGATGGAGGTCAAATGCGCATTTATATATCTTATAAAAAAAATAGTGAGCCAAAACCTTAAATATTTAAAATATAAAAATCATAACATATCACTTCATTCCGACATCCCGGGATTTAAAAGATGATGCAATGTATTTTAAGAAACCGCTTCTATATTTCGACAGCAATTCACGGCAAAACGGGAAGTTTAGATTTATAATCATCCGAATATCCGACCATTAATTATAACTATCGAATTCAGGTTTTCGCGATTACTACACAACGGAAATGAAACAATCTTATTTTCGGATCCATCAATCAGCCATGACCATGGGACCTGTAAGGACCACGAAACCATATAATAATACAAGTATGGCAACTCCATAGAAACTTAGCAGCGCGGCCTATGTATGTGCACGCCTGCCGCGCGCTGTGTACGAACGCGCTCATTCGTATAACAATGAAAAGCCGACGAGTGCATCGAGAGATTACGCGAATGAGCGTCCGCGTCCGTACTCGGCGCTCGCACATAGAAGCCGCGTTGCTACGTTTGTATAGAGTTACCATACTTGTGTTATTATACTATGCCTTAACGTTGGTTTATTCGAAAAAACAAAGATTGATGCGATGTCCATCCGGAAAAACGGTTCCATTTCCAATTTTATTAATATATAATTTTATTATACCTTGTAAGAAGCGCTTAGAGGTAAACTAAAGTAATGTAGTCGCTATTAATAAAACTACATTTTCAGTATCTGTGCCGCAAACAGAAGTAAGAACTGTGCCAAGAACAGGAGAGATACTGCTCATCTCTTTTGGACCGGATAATGCTAATCGAAGATTTTTCTTCGTGCACAACGTTAGGTGCCTTCCGTCGCCAAAAAGTGAGCAAATAATACGTTATTTATCATAAATATGAAAAGCGTTTTTTTAGTAACAGTAAATAAGTTGTTTTGTATTTGGTGTAATACATATAATCTAAATAAACCTTGTAGTGCAACATCATTCCAAAACCCAATCACGGCATCTGGTTTTTGTTTCTTCTCAACCTTTAATATAACTCCTATTTTCATTTCAGATAACATACATTCATTCTTCTCACTATCTCTACACGCGTGTTACACCGACAAAATGGGAAAACTGAAGCCCGGGGATACAATGGTGGCCATAAGTTTAGCTTATATTCAAAAGGAACTGATGTTGTTTGATGCTATGGAATATCTAGCAGGGTCACCTCTTAGCGAAGCGATACTAAGGCCGGAGCCGCGGCATTTTGTTAAGACTGATTCTAAATCTTCGTTTAATATGCAGTGTCAAGTGAGTGTGAAAAAAACTTTTTGGTATTAATTATTGTTGAGACAATATAGTATTGTATAGTAGCAGTAGGGTCACCTTCTGAAAGAGTTCGTCCAGGGTAGTACTGCCACCTTACCTATTTCTGCCACCAAGCAGGAGCGTAAGCATTACTGCGTTCCGGTTTTTAAGAGTCCGTGTGCTGGTGTAATTACAGGCACATGGGACTTGTCAACTTATGTCTCAGGGTGACGGGCGCAGTGGCAGTGCCCCTCAGATCTTTGCGATTTAAAGCTCTGAGAGGTAGCTTACCATCAGGCATAGGTCTTGTTCGTCTAATAATAAAACAAAGATACGCATGCACACGTTAGGAAGCTACAGTTAAAAAGCTGTTTAATCCAATACAAAGATCCGTAACAAGCACATGGAGATTTGTAAAATCTGGTGGCTCGATTCGTGGCTTAGTAAGAACGGTAGCCATGTTGAGGCGAATTCTGTCGGATCGGAAGAATTTTTCTTAGTGTTTGTACGATCTTTATATCAATAATAATAACAAAAGTGGAGTATTTTCACAAAAAAACATGAATTATCATGATAGTAAAAACATCATGATATTCATTAAAAATAAACATTTTTGGTATTAATTCAAATCATTCGATTTCTAATTATTAATACAAAGATCGAACACTCTGAAAAAATTCCTTCGATCCGGCCGGATTCGAACCGACGTCTTCTAGCTTACCGTGCCAGGCGCTACACCAACTAAGCTTTAATCATTCTATTTCTACTCAGGAAGGATATGTAGGTACTGCACATTTATTACAAATAATCTATAGGTAAGTAGTCTGAATGCCGAAATTGCCAAACAACTTATTTAGTTAAAAGTGGTGAAATTAAAGTCACATGGGACTTGTCAACTTACGTCTCAGGGTGATGGGCACAGGGACAGTGCGCCTCAGCAGATATTTGCGATTTAAAGCTCTGAGTGGCACTGCAACTGTTCTGATGTAGCTTACCATCAGGCGCACGATTTGTTCGTCCCGTCACTTGATATTATAAAAAAGTAAACTTGTTAATATTTCAGTGGACAAAGGTTCTAAACCCTAGTCAACAAGCGGCCGTATTCTCCTCAGTTTCGGCGGCACTAAGCGACAGACCATGTATTCAAATGGTACAGGGACCACCGGGGACAGGTATGACAATTGTATTTATAAAACAAAACTCCAACTCTGTAACTTGAAATTTATTGAAATGTCTTTCGAGTTAGACAGCCTATTGACGCTTTATGCCAAAAATGCAGTATGCCAGATTCTCATAATCCCGAAGTCACTTCTAGGAACAGATTTGGTTAATTTAAAAAGTTTCCATTAAATCCTGTTGTGTTAATACATTTAACTGCCTCCGTGGCCGAATGGTTACGGTTACCTATCAGTAGTCTGAAATAACATTTTCCAGAAATAACGTTGGCTCGTATTTTCATAACCGCGAAAGTAATTTTGAGAGGAAAATGTTTTTTCTTTTAAACTTAACCTAACCGAACCTAATCGTGTCTTTGCGATAAACATCCACCAACAACGGTTTCGTTATAATTCGGTTTTCGGTGTAATGAAAATTCGAACAAATGTTATTTCGGAAAAAAAATTGAGTTTGTGATACGTTACCAACGATTACCAGCCGAACTGTAACGCAGAGGTCCCAGGTTCGATTCCTGGGCCGGGAGAAATATTTGTATGGCTTATATTTATTTCTTTCGTGAGTTTCAGTGTAATTTGTGGTTGTCTATGTGTGTGTCCATGGCACCCGCGACACAGGATTTTCCTAGTGCGGGGCTATGTTGAGTGTGTGCGTTATTATTATACATTCTTGAATCGCAAAAAAAATCATTCTGAAATATGTTGACAAATACCCTAAATTCGGTTCTAGCCTTGTACTCTCGCTCTTCTGACATCCGTCCGAAACAATTACTGTCAAATAAGTAGTAGTCGATGAAAATTTAAAGACGCATGATGCGAATGCTTATCATACATTGTCTTTTACTTTGGTCGAATATTACTTATTTGACAGTAATTGATAAAGATGTCGGACGGAGAACGAGACAAGACCCCCTGGCACTCACCAGCCGCTTCCGCGGTGCTCTTGCTCAACTCACTTGACTCGTGCGTGTGATATACGCTATAGCCTAACCTCCCTCCTCGCCAACGTATCTTTAAGCAATATGGCACTCTACTAATCTGGCATCCTACTAATTTGACATTCCGCTAATCTGACATTTTGCATGTTTGGCATAAAGCATCAAAAGTTTAAACAGTTAGAGCGCATTTATTCGAGACGAATTTCATTGCGCGGCTGCCGCGTCCGCGCCGCCGCAGCGACCGCATACGTCCAACTGTCATGGCAAAATACGCTCTATTCGTTTATTACGTTTTAAATTAAATGAGCGTCCCGAGCGCGCGGGCGAGACTGACTTGTCTTTGGTCTACGCGGCAGCAGGAATTTCAATGTTGTTGCCTAGTAAATAGAATTCGGATTCGCCATTAATGTACGCGAAAGCGTGGTAACTGGGCGGTCGCCGCGAGGCGGCCACGCGAAAACGTTCCCGCCGTGTAACTGGGCGCTTAGGGCGCCTTCAAATTAGACACTCGATACATACAAACTACACAAAAAACACACGGAAAAACTCTACTTTATTAACATTCCGTGGAGAAGTGGTTGAGTTGAATGATTTTTGCAGGGAAATCAAGCGTAATATGTGCCATAGTGATGTCTTACTTCTACGATCTTAAAGGGAAGCTACAACATAATAGAGGCAAAATTTTAATTTGCGCGACCAGTAATGCCGCGGTCGACGAGATCGTTTGCAGGCTGCTTAACATCAGACAGAACTTGCCTAAAAGTTAGTATAAAAAGTGAATAAGTAAGTAATCCACTTTATATTAATTCAATTCTCCTAAGTCAGAGAAGAACATAACTGAACACGACATGCAACTATGAATCCATGCTTAACTAGAACACATAAATAGCACAAGGAATATCTTAATATTTATTTACTAATTTCAATTGAAAATTAAAGGATTTCATAGACGCGTAAAAACGTCCACGGCGGTCATAAGATTAAAATCAACGAATTTTGTGAGCTGAAACCTTTTCAGCCTTTTCAGTCACCTTCCTTTTCTTGTTATATGTAATGCTGCGATGTAATGTGCTGAATAAATACCTTATCTATCTATCTATCTATGTATTAACGAGAATTAATTATGAACTAAGATTAACGTAGTTATTGCGAGTCTAAATTACAGCAGCTTATTTTAACGGATCAGTTGTATCACGTAGTATTACTTATTGTATGTAATTTTATGTTTTGCGCAGCCGAACGGTTCCGTATGGTTCGCGTAGGCCGTGCAGAAGCGATGCATCCGCTGGCATACAACATCTCGTCGCAGCAGCTAGCACAACGCGACGCCGTCGCAAGACAACAGGCCGAGCCCGTGCATGCCGGACTCACTGCAGAGGCATGTAATATAGTTGCTGCAATCTCAGTAGGCGAAGCTTCAATTTTATGCTCATAGTGGCGTAGGTTCAATTTACACTGCCACGGTATGGAAGCGAATTTGTGCATAGCGCAATTGCCATAAAGAACTTTATGGCAATTGTGTAACGTACAAACTAGATACTAGTAGTTTAGTAGCAAAAGAGCGCTTTGTGAACGAGTTCGTCCAGGAAAGTGGCATCAGATCTTTGCGATTTAAAGTTCTGAGTAGTGCTATAGAGTACTAAAAAAACCGTCTTCAAAAGTTCGTGGAATTACAACTATTTGCCAAGTTTTATTGAAATCGATTACCGGAAAGTGCACGAAACCGGATTCCTAGTTTGCCACCCTGAGAGGTGGAATATTTTCTTCAAATTTAAATGGGACCACCCACTTTCCAACAAAAAAGAATCATGAAAATCTGTTCACAAATTTACAAAAAGCCGGCGTTATCGCGTAACATACATATAAAAAAAATACAATCGAATTGAGAACCTCCTCCTTTTTTTGAAGTCGGTTAAAAAAAGCGAAGCTTCAGTTTAATAGACATAGACTAAATTGAACATAATATAATGAACTTTATGACAATTGTGCAACATACAAAGCGCGTACAAACTTGATACAAAAAAAATAGCGTACAAACTTGATACGATGCGATAGCTGCTGGAAATCCCGAGACTGCGTGAGAATTCTCGGAAGAAGGCGAAGGAAGAGGCGTGACCTGTTTTTTGGCTTGTACATTACACAGTTGGCATTCATTACGCTGTGTTACAAAAATTCGTGTCCGTTCTACGACGAGACCGAAAGTAATAATACAATATCTCCAAGAAACCTATAAATACTTATTTAATTAACTGCCTTGTATTGTTTCAGATCTCTCACATAGAGGCCAAGATAAACATGTGGCGGACACAGGAGCAAGACGCAAAAGATCCTGAACGAGCAGCTTACTGCAGCGGCCGGGTCAAAGAACTCCTAAATAGATTGGATTTGGTAAGATAGAGATATACTTATTACTGTCATAAGTCAACAATTACTGTTATAAAACTTTGGAATATAATAGAAGAATGTAATAGCGTTTACAAACGGCGAATTTTAGCATCGCGTTTGCTTCGATGCAACCGCGTGGGTGGACGTGGGCGGAGCTTATTTTAAAAGATTTCGGTTCCTAATAACATCGAAAATAGTTCTTTTAAGTCGTAAGGTGGATCACAAATTAAAGATGGCGGTTATTTAAAGTAGATATTATTGTTCCATGAGAATTTTAGTTTCTGTGGGGATGCCAAAAATAAAAGATTCAGATTTCAAGATAATGCAAATTTTTCATCAATCTAAATATATTATAATATGAAATGTATTAGATAACTTTTACTACTAGTGCTTACCTATTTCTAATATCTTAGCCTAAGATGAGAAGAAGAGAAGAGAGAACTTTGTACATAATATAATGTCTATGCCGTAATTCATTATTTACAATTACGATTTTACACTATGCTACTTCGACAACACGGACGAGATGCTTCTTAATAATCTTTATACTCCGATAAGAATGAACATCATTACAAACCCATGTAAGAAAAGATTTCTTATATCGATCGATTAATCTAGTGTTTATGATTACAATTACAAATGATTTTGTACTTTGGTAATTTTTATTACATGTAAGCAATTACTTTTGATAGCGTAAGGACTAAAGTACCTATTGAATTGGTAGTCATCAGGGTACCTACTATATGTTTTAGTGACAATTGTCTCTAATGACTCCGTAAAATATTTATATGCAAAATGTTACTTCTTGTAAGCGCAAGTGGTGTACAGTTTGCCATACAAAAACCACCACCAACACCCATCAGCGACAAAAACTGTAAACTCATGGTAGAGGCAAACATGTCTGCTCTAATCAGATATCAAAACAACAACACAAACCGTGAACAGTATCGCTGTTACACTACCTGCATGATACGTAACACATGTACTACAGATTGTTAAGTTCCAAACACCACGACAACAATGTGTAAGAAATAATATAATATATAATTTGTTGGTAATTGGTAATTTCATAAATTTATTTCGGTGGCTAGCTTCGTAACGGCGGCGGAGGAGGTGGGCCCGGAGAGAAACTCCGCGCCGATCAATTGGCGCACGCGGAACGTCGTATCGTAGATTGTGCACACATCATTGTCACTACTCTCTCCAGCGCACACAATCATAAAATGAGAGGGTAACCTATTTTCAATTCCTTTTGTAATGTGAACAGCGTATTCAGCTTTATGCTGTGTAATTCGTTCTCGTTCTTATCATAAGTGATATAGAGTTGAATTTAAATTTATCGCGTGAAGCTCAGCTCAATACACTGCCATCCTAGTCATAAACAACACATTTGCAATTTGGTAACTTTCGAGATATTGGCACCTAATTTTTCTTTGAAATATCGCAATGCTATTACAATAGTGTTGTAATTCAAAATATGTGAAGTTCAAGACTCTATCAATACTGAACGTAAAATTGGATTTTCTACACTACAATAAAACAGTGTTACAATATTGTAAGGAACAATTACAAGATATCTACTTAACTCAAAATGAGACACACGTTATGTGAGCTAGTTCTACCCAAAACAGTGCTTAAAACAAATATATAATATTTTTTTCCTTTTACCTTTAAATGTATTTGGAATTGTTTACATGTCTGTAATAAACTGTAATCCTATACACAAATTTTATGATCTTTCACGGCGAGTGAGTTCGTTTTTCATCGATTCTGAGAAAATACACTTTTTGAGTAAGTACACTATTGTAATAATTATGTCGGTTACGCTGGTTTTGCTTAACAATAAAACTTAATCTAAATAAGATATTGAAAAACCGCTTTCAGGGGGTTATAGATCTCACTTCCCTGATTCCAGATATGCTAATAACTCAATTTCTCAAAAACGTCAATTATGTTGTTTATAATAAAGACGATGGTACAAATCCGTACAGAACATACGGATCGTTGACATATTTATGTAAAATTGTCAAGATCCTAAGACAGTTTGTGAAACATGACTACTGAAGTCATTCTCGGATATGACAATGACACATTATCACAGAACACCCCATTTTATAATCATTATTTGCGTACAGGTTAAAAAGGCGAATAGCACTGTGCATAGTGGACGAAGCGGGACAGGCGATCGAGCCAGAGACGCTGATTCCGCTCACGCTCGACGTAACGCATCTGACGCTCATCGGAGACCCGCAACAGCTGCCTGGATACATCTGCTCACAGGTTCATCTTTAAGTCTATTCACGAAACACAGTATATAAATTATTATCACAAAACAGAGTTTTAAGCCGTGTGATTCCTTTCAATTTTCAGATTGTGATACGTCAAACATGCTTTATCGCATGAAAATCATGAAAATAATACAAACTACATGAAACGACTTATGTACATGTAAAATGGCTAGTTAGGGCTAGCACGATAGGGCGCGACTAGCGCGAGAGCGACACAAAGTGCGAGACACTGCTTTTGTCGCATAGAGATCGCGCACATTATGTCGCACTCGCGTCTGGTCGCGATTGGACTAGGGATTGCTCTTTTCAAATAAACTTAAATGCTATGGAATACACTTTAAATCAAATTTGTGTTTATTCTGCAGCCGTGTCGTCTTTCCATACATCTTTCTAACATGTAGTCTTCAATTTTGTAATATTACTTTGCAATGAAAATATTTTTAATGTAGTTTTTAAACTTAGGAAATGATAATTTTAATATATGCTCCGGAATCTTATTGTAAAAACGTTATACAGTTCCCCATAAAAGAGTTGTTTACCTTGGTTAAATGAAGTCGTGGTACGTTAAGTAAGTACGTTAGGTACGTGGTAAGGTTAATATTATGGATATCTTCTTTCTTATTGAAATTATGTATATTTTACGGGCATATAAAATCTTTGCGTAAATGTACTGTGATGCCACGGTCATGATACCAGTCTCCTTAAACTTTTCTCTGATAGAATCTAGTTCAGACACAGATGTCTTGCCCTAAATGCAACATTGCAACTTTAACACTGCCAATGTCAAATTTATCTGAAGTTTATGAAATAAAGAAATTTATTATAATATAATACACAAATAAATAATTGTTTACAGCGAGCGAAAAAACACGGTCTAAACGAGAGTCTTTTCTCCCGTTTAACATCATGCGCCGAGAATTGGAAAGAAGGCAGTCCTGTGATCCTATTGAACCGTCAATACCGCATGCACCCTGAGATCGCGGAGTACCCCAACCGTGCGTTCTACGGCGGACACATCACAACTACGTCGCCACCGCGTCCGGACATACCGCTGCCGCCCTATTGCATTATTAGTATCTCTAGCGGAGATAAAGGACAAGGTAGCTGGTGCACTGTACTGAACACATGAAGCTAAAATATCACGCAAATCACAGCGAAGGCATCATTCTTCATTTAAAGAACACTCATGTTTTACTTAACTATAAATTCTATCTTAACTTTGATTGAATTCTTTCCAAAAGACAAAGACCGCGGTAGTGTATAGTGCGACAAGAAAAGTACTAAGTAACATTTTGTCTGCTGTACTATTTAAGGTTTTTTTTTATAACATCAACAGTTACAGTGCCACTCAGAGCTTTAAATTGCAAAGATCTGAGGCGCACTACCACTGCGTCCGTCACCCTAAGACATTAGTTGACAAGTCCCACGTGCCTATAATTTCATCAGCACCCTTACCCTTCAAAACCGAATCACAGTAATGTTCACATTACTAATTGACGGTAGAAATAGGTATGGCGGCAGTGCTACCTTGCACGAACTCGTTTTTTTCTTTCTTTTTCTGTTTTGTTTCTTTCTTTTCGTGTGGTAGTCAAATAAATTTATTTTCTTTCTTCTTTCTAATACATCGTTTTAAATTCCTGTTGATCGACCTACAATTATTTGTCCCAGGAGCGTCTGGCGCTAACGAGATGGAGGCGTGGGGCGTGTCTCGTCTAGTCACCGCGTTGAATTCATTGCTGCGTCCGCGCGGGCTCAGCCTGGCCGTGGTCACTCCCTACAACGCACACAAGGAGCTCATCAAGCGCAACTTGAAGTTGCTACAGGACCCGTAAGCTATAACTTAATTGTGATATTTGAACACTTGAGTAAAAGTGTTCCTTAGTCCAGCATGGCCAAAGTCGAATTTTTGATTAATCGATAAAAATCGTAGGTTCTAGTCGCAAATACTAACTACATTTAGTCGGTCGAAATAGTTGAAAGTCGAGAACCGTAGTACCTAGCTTATGTCTGATTGCACTAAAAAATACTTGATTTAGTCTGTTCTAATCGTGAAAAATAAATGTATAAAAAATCGAGCCAACATAACATCCTCTTTTTGACAGCTATGAACAGCGACAGAACGTAACTTACCAATAATTGCCCAAATAGGAAACGAATAATTATTTATCTCCTCTGTGAACTGAATACTAACAATGTTTTTATTTCGGTTAAATAAATAGTATTAATTATTATTAATTTTATATCTGCATTTTACATCATCACTTTCCATCGGGTGAGTTGGATGTCAAATCAGTGCTTATTTTTCTATAAGAAATAACTTTATTTATTGCAAACATAATGAGTAGAAAACTAAAGGAAAGGAACGATGTTCAATATGTGTCTTGTGTCCTGATTTGCTCTACAGTATTTTTTTTATTTTTCAGAGCGGATACTTGCGCCCCTGTAGAGGTAAACACAGTGGACAGCTTCCAAGGGCAAGAACGTGACATAGTGGTAGTGTCACTGGCAAGGTCAAGTGGCGTGGGTTTCCTCACCGACACAGGACGAATGAACGTGATGCTCACACGTGCTAAGCATGCGCTGCTCGTTTGCCTTAATCCTCACGCCATAATTGTACGTATACCAACTCTTCACCGGTCGGATATATCCATAATATTTATTTATTTATTTCCAAGTTACTTGCTATTATTACAGGTGATACGACGGATTGTGGGCGCTGAATACGGAGGTCCCGGGTTCGATTCCCGATAGGACCAATTTGGGAAATGAACTTTTCTAAATTGGTTTTGTTCTGGGTGGTCCAGAATTCCGTTGCTCTGGTACTCATAGTACCTGCAATGAATTCCCTAGTTAGAAGAGACCAGACAATTGGTCTAACCATATTATTATTATTATTATTATTAGACCTTCTTTTAAATGTTATGGCCCGATCGAAGTAATCGATGATTGACGTTGGCCGTCAAGTTGAGGGACACACGCGTTTTTACTCAAATATTGACCCGTAAATTTCGACAGAATTCACTAAGAGGAAAATTTACAAATCTACAACGACACGACAGAGAACCTACACAGACAATTACAGAAACAATTTTTTTTTTTCAATAAATTTACACAGCACATGTACATTATTATACCTATAGTCGTCACAAAATAAGAGGCACCTTTTGACACTTGTCATCGGAACGTAAATAAGGATGTCCATATTAAAGGATTCTCACGAGAAATCAATACGAAATTGAATGAGTCTGTGATCATTTGGATTATTTTTTGGGTCATTGGTTTTCAGTTCTAGATAGAACAATTAACATTTATTTAACCAATATAGAGTTTAATATAGATAATAAGTAAGTATTTTAAATGATCACATAGACCACCTGTAGCTGCTATTGCAGCTTAGTTACATTTACACAGTTCACAAGGATAACCTGTAGTTAAATAGTAAAATTCTGTGCAAAACAAAAAAGACTTCATGGTTTAAATTTGTATTCCCTTTCATCGGATGATAACCCATCAGTCGTCAGTTGAGCTAGTATCAACTGTATGTATAGTATTCGATTTTCGAATCATATTATCAATGTTAACATCTCTGTCTAAATCAAAATGTAAATATTTTTTAAGTGATTTTTTTTAACGCGCTCATACTCATAGTCCCGTATTAGGGAAACCCTGTATTGCTGGTGCCAAACTCACGAGAGAAATAAATGTAGGCCGTACAAATATTTCTCCCGGCCCGGGAATCGAACCCGAGACCTCTGTGTGGTAGTCCAGCATGGTAATCGTTCAGCCACAGAGGCAGTCAAAATGGAATAATTTGAATTGCATTCAAAGTTATATACCATTGTATTCCTTAGTTGTTGAATTGGGGGCCTTGTGACGACTATAATGCGATAGTGTGGACAACAAGACAACAGCAAAAAATATGTTAACTTCACATCAAATTCAACACTATATTGACACAAGCTATCTTTTTTTTTAAATGATTTCGATAACAATGTCTTAGAATATGTTTCCACGTTGACATATAGAGACAAGAGATTACGTATGCTATCAAAATCTTATTTACATATACTTCACGCCCTTTTCCCATAAGGGTAGACGGCGACAACATGTCATTTCCCACATTGGTCCTTCCGGGAATCGCACTCAGGACCTCTTCAAGTTCGTCTTTCTTGGTGCCACAGTGCTAACCGAACCGCTAGGCCATTAAGGCCGTAAAAAATGGACTAACATGATTAATAATAATAACAAATATTTGAAATGGGTTAAGTTTAGTTACAGAGAATTGTGGGCTACGTAGTCCTCGCTGATATACTACAACAGGCTTATTACCGAACTTTAGCAACTGGTTGCTAATTGTACAATAGCAACGCGATTGCTACCAGTTGCGATTGCTAAGTTGGTATTATAATACGAAAAAGCAACCGGTCGCTTCTTGTCAAAGCATTTTCATGCAGTTTTAGTTTATTAGTTGCTCGCTAGAGGCGCTGTAGTCGACTGGTCGCAATTGTTCGTTCCGTAATACGAATTTATGTTTTGACAGCGATAATCGTGCAACTATTGCTAAAACGACTGGTCGCTAAAGATCGGTAATAACCCTGCCTAGCCCTAAAAAAATTTTATCTCATATAACCATTACCTATTTCGGCAAAAAAAATCGGTAATGTGAGCATTACCGCATTTCGATTTTGTAGGGTAAGGATGCTGGTGAAATTACAAGTACATGAGTCTTGTCACCGTATGTCTCATAGTGGCTGTGTTCCTCGGATCTTTGAGATCTAAAGCTCTGAATGGTACTAAAACTGCTAAGGACAGGCGTGTCGTTGAACATCAGACACACGACTTCTTCGCCCCGTCAGTTGGTATCAAAAAAACCCTTTTTAATATCAAACATTTTTTGTTTTAGAAAAATCACCAGTGGCGAACATTAGTCGAGGACGCTCAAAGAAGAAAACTGTATAAAATATTTCCAAATAAATTATGTCGAGCGGCGCCAGGGCCCATTCAGAATGACGACATTCTTAAGTACGTAATGTGAACAATCAATTTAAGTCATCAATCATAGGATCGTTTCTAACAGAACGACTTTTGAAATTGTATTGATGCTCCATAAGGAGCGAAGTATAATGACACAGTGAAACAGAACAGAAGGGTTCCATAACGGAAATCGCAAAAGTGTATAAATGATGCTGCATAGACTTATTATTCAACATTAACAAATAATCTGGGATCGACTATACCAATATTTGTACAAAAACTTGATTTAAATGGGTCAATGTATCATTTTACAGTCCTTTATTTACTTGAATAAGGGAACAAAATTCGTAAGGGAGGGCAAATTCGTGATTTTTGTTGCATTTACCTATCCGTGTATCTTTAAAAAAACGATAGTTTTTCTATAATAGCTACATAACGAGACCATTAATATCAATGACTAATAACACCAGAGAACTGCTAATTGCGATACAAGAGAGCGTAGTCGGGTATTTAATATACACTAGATGTCGCGACGAGTACTAACTAGTTATTTTTGTAACCATTGAGTATATAACCAGAAATAGAGATGATATGTCATTTAATTTGTTTGAAAACTATTCTGCCAAATCATTACGGTGACAACTACGCTCCGATTGCCCAGCCCGAATTCGAATCAATTGACGGCTGACGTCAATTGTTCCACTTCAAAACGATCAGTTTAACTTGAGATTTGCTATAATGGACGCACATTGAAAAATGTTTTCTGTTTTTCCTACACCGCCGAATGGAACAGCCCCCCATTGTTAGAGATATTATCTTTATTTACAATAAATACAGAATATTTTTGGAATATACGGAGACGTACACACAGGTCAGTTGTTGGCGCTGTACTATTTCAGCTTTCTAATTTGTGATTTCAGCGCAAGTGGCCCTTTTTTCGTCTCTATTTCTAGTTATACACTCGATGCTTGTAACTTCTTTGTTTTACATTGACAAGGTACAATTTATCGAAGCTACTCTAATTTCTAGTGATAACAAACAAATCAAGTAGATGACGCTTATTAATACGTAGATTTTTTTATTGATAGTGGCGGCTATTCTTTTATTTTGTTTAGGATTGGCGCCATATTAGGAAGCGTTAATTTATAAATTAGTTTGTAACAGACACTGCATTAAGAGGAATTATATACATAATATAAACTACACTCCAGACTATTGACCTTTTCAGAGCTACGATATGTATGTAGTATAGAGATTATTTTATTTTGATTATTTTTGGAAATGTTACAGCTAAGGTAACAAGAATAGTATAGTGAGTGATATAATACACGCCTGACAGCCCAGTGCATGTATGCGGAGGGCTAATTAAAAGTTTCCACAGATAATTATTTGCAGTGATAGAAACAAACTATAAAGTAAGTTGCCGACTTAAAAAAAAAACAAACGCAATAAATATAAACAACGAAATTAAATACGTTAAACAATTTGTTTGTTAGTAGCTACATATAATAGAAAAACATATCACTGAGTAACGTTTTAGTTTCAGTACAAAACTGGTGTTGAACAAGTTTACCTCACCATATCTTTTAACTAAGGAGTTAAATGAGCGAGACGCTCTGTTTAAAAATGCATTTTGCCGATAATTTGTCCTAACTCTAGGAACGTAAAGGGTGATAGGATTTCTCAGTACAACCTTGTTTAGCGACCCTCTTATGTTATTGGTCATCCATGATTAATATTAACAAAAGTAACGGGTAACTCACGTATTTAGGCCCAATTTTTCAAGGTTCGAACCAGTCCGTCGAATCACCGCCGCGGAATCTCATAATTAAGCACCACGGACTAATTCGAAACACGTCGAGCAAAAACTCTACTCAAATACATGGATTTAAGTCGAATTTAGTAGCAGTAAAGCTACTTATGAAAGAGTTCGTCCAGGGAACTACTACTACTGCCACCATATCTATTTCTGCCGCCAAGCAGTAATGTTTTGAAGGGTCATCATTCAGCCATACGACGCCCACTGCTGGGCATAGGCCTCCCCCAACGATATCCACGACGATCGGCCCTGCGCTGCCCGCATCCATCGGCTTCCCGCAACTTTTACCATATCGTCGATCCACCTGGTGGGGGGCCTACCCCTTTTTTTTTGTACTTTCCCGAACGCGGGCAGCCCATCCGAGCTGGATTCAACGAGAGATCTCTTTCTCAAAGTTGGACTTACCTAACTGGACTGACTGCCCCAGGTATACGTAATGGTCAACAACTTCGAGCGTAATGCTCCCAATTTTAACTGGAGCGGGTACAACATGGACATTCGACATGATCTTCGTCTTGTCCATGTTCATCTTAAGCCCACTCTTTGGGAAACACTACTGAGATCTTCGAGCATTGTGTTCAGGTCTCCCAAGGTCTCAACCATAAGAATTATATCATCGGCAAATCGAAGGTGTGTTAGATACTCGCCATTGATGTTGATGCCAAGTCCTTTCCAGTCCAGAAGCTTGAAAATATCCTCCAACGCAGCAGTGAACAGTTTCTGAGATATCACATCTCATGTCTCACGCCTCGTTGCAGGATCAGAGAACTGCAGTTCTCTGATCCTGTTATCGGACTGACATCCTTTTTTGTATAAGTACCTTAACACCTCGATATACCTATAGTCTACTTGGCACATTTGGAGAGACTGCAGCACCGCCCAGGTCTCAATCGAATCAAAGGCCTTCTCAGAGTCCACAAACGCTAAGAAAAAGTGGCCGGTTATACTCCTAGGTCTTCTGTGTAACCTGCCGCAGCGTATGGATGTGGTTTATGGTACTAAAACCCTTTCGGAAACCGGCTTGTTCGGGAGGTTGGAAGTCGCCAAACCTGCGAGCGAGACGATTCGTGATAGTGATGGGTTCTGGTGAAATTGCAGGCATATTCGACTTGTCCCATTGCTCATGGTGACGAGCGCAGTGGCAGTGCCCCTCAGATTTTTGCGATTTAAAACTCTGAGTAGCATTACAATTGTTATGTACAGGCGTGTCGTATACTACCAGACGCACTTGTTCGTCCCGTCGCTTGGTATAATAAAAAAAAGAATTTATCCGTTAATTTAGATAATATGTGTGAGTCTCACAGTAGTTTCCATTTTAAAAGATCATATAGTAATTAGAATAAGGCAATTTCCTCATCATATACAGTTACTACAATCACTGGTTCTACTGGTCAAGTCTGTTTTCCAGTGGGTCTTATTGGAAAGTAAACCTGACGCCTACGTCAAATTAAGTCCTTCTGTTCTGATCTACGGTGTCGAAGTGTTGATTCAATCAAAATCAAATAGCTGTTTAATTCACACCCGCAACTCTTTCAAAAGCCGTTGTACTCGATTAATCATTATATGGTATTTAATCAATCATGAACATTGTTGAGTGCCGGTTGGTAACGCGAGTACAACGTTATTATATTGTTATCGAGAATTATGGATTAATATAGTTACATATATTATGACGATATTTGCGGTCAGTAGTAACCATGAATGGGTCACTGGGCCAGCAGCGAAGTAAGTAATGAACATCTAGTCCTACAATTTCCTGTGATGTTTTTTCGTTGAAGTTCTCGGAACAAAAATTAATGTTACTGTTAACCACATCGTTAGATTGCTATGCGAGTGTAACGGAACTTCTAGAAAAGATCCCACAGCTGAACGATAAGTCAGTTTGTATTTACAAAATATTACTATCGATTATTGCACATTACTACGCTGTGTGTGGTAAGAGTGCGTACAAATCTGGCGATTGCGCCTGTTTGCGGAAGGCTCGCGAGCTGCACACCTGCATTACGTAGTGCGGTCTGTCCGCGTGCCGCTCGCGCGTATTATGCGTGAGACGTTAGGCCTTGTCCAGAAGAAGCGAATTCGCCGTAAATCGTCCCGCGCGTATACGGGCGTACTTTGAGTCCAGAGATACGTTGAGAGAGTTGTGACTAGAGAAAGCAAAATGTACTTAGTACCTACATCCAATTCTTTATGATAGACTGACACATAGAATGTTTGAAAATTGCGCGGGACTCGTGCGAGACACGCGCGAGTCGAATCTGGCATATTGCACGCGATTTACGCGCGAATTTTGAAATCGCGCGATACTTATGGACGCGATGTATGAATTCGCGCAAGACTTCAAGAGAGAGAGAATTCGGTCCTTCTGGACAAGGTGTTACAGAGGCCTCTGCATCTGTACGCACATATTTGTTTGTAATGTACGTAGCATTACAAGGTGGTGCTATTGAAATTGAATCGATTTTGGAGTGTTCATAATATTATTACATATTAGTCGTCGAAAAATACTTTGACGTATATTTTTGAAACTTTCTCCTTTTAAAATATTCTTGTAAATTGTGTTTACGTATTTTTTTTTTCAAAATAGCTTAAATAATTCCCACTGATTTTATTGTAAAGATTAATGTGTTGTGTTATCTATCATTTATCAGTTTAAAGTTCATTGACTCCTAAATAAATGAAATAAATACATGCAATTAATCAACATTCTTATCAAACCAGGTATTTCAGAAGACTAGTTTCGGATGAATTACACATTTTGTTGTCATTGACACGGAGAAGATGAACGAAGATGTGTGAAAATATAGACTGTTTTTATTAGTTTTATAATTCCTTTACTCATATTTTTCTGTTTTGTACCTTTAATCTGTTAATTTTATATAAGAAATTAGTACATTAAATTACGCTACTGATGCGTTATAAGGACTATAATAACGAGTGCTAGTTTGTAACACGAGATGTGGCCCAGAAAGATAGCACGAGTTTTACGATTACTGTTTACATACAATATCATATTAATACTTTTCTTAACTAGAAAATAAATAATAGAATAAAAATTATTATTTGCATTTTTGCATTTTGTCTGTGTTGTGCAATTTATAAAGGATACAGAAACACGAGCATAAATGGCGACACTCGTGCACACTTGACCTGTTGCGTAATTGACTTGACCGGTTGCGTAATTGACTTGACCGCACAATTTTGCGTTACTGTTTGAGGTTTATTATTGCGCAAATTGTCAATGGGGAAACAAAAAAAATTATCAAATTCAAATAAAGAAGCGGGGTTACCTAAGACTGAGAAAAATGCACGTCAAGCGTTTGTTACGAAATTTGCCTTGCTATTAAGGTCACGAGGCCGTAGGGTCTAACATCTTTATGGTTAGAAACATGAGCTAAGCTCACACTAGCGAATTATTTATGGTTAGACATAAAACATTCGCGGTAGTCACTCTACTGTTTGCACATATGTGAACGTAGTTTTATGCGATATGGATAAAAACCAAACCTTCGTATTTTCTGGCGACTTTTATTCTATAAACGTATTTTCCCTTTGCCTATTTGGATCATTTGTATTCGGAATCTAAATAAAGGGTTTTTTAACAATGATTATTAATAGTACGACAATGATATCGTTAACTTCTCTGTACGCGCTATGTCTAGATCAAATAAGGACAATAAGTGTCTAATCTGTGTCAAAAAAAATATTTTTGGTGTTAAAACGATGTGAAAAAAAATTGACGTAATTATGTAGAAATTAACCAATCGGCAAACAGTACATTGTGTAACTAAGGCGCCTTCTAATTAGACAGTTATAGAAGCTCAGTAGTGCCGCGGCAGCAGCCCGTCTGTAGCGCTTCAGTATTTTTAGTTCACTAATATAAAGGCCTAATTAGAAGGCACCCTAAGGCGGTAAAATTATTGCAAACGAGCTTATAACCTTAAAACATGTGTAACATATATTTTTCAATGCATTTGTTAGACAAAAAAACCTTTTTCTTACGCAATTTGTACTTTACTGAAAACGTCGATCGTCAATTCCATATTTTTCGCGAAACCTCATTTGGACTAATCAACATTTATTTAGTATACAAACAATAACAAAGACCTAATAACGTTTGTTAAAAATAGGGAAATAACAAGGCTTCCGAAAAACAATTGAACGCGGAAGTCTTTTTGGACAGAAATTAATTTCCCTAGTCGCTACGCATTTTCAACCGTACCCGTCTACTTAGTATCAAATTATATCATTTTAAGAACATATAATATTATTTTGATATTATTCCAAAGTTTATGAAATGTATAGTACATCGCTTTTAAATTTATAATAGGTGAATTACGGTAAAGATGGCTAACAATACTTTTCGGGTTAAATTGAATGGGTAAAGGCGAATACGTCAGTTCAAGATTGTTCGTAACTTTTCAAAATTCGATTATTTCAGTATTTTTATTTGTGCAAGTTTTCGGTAATGTTCATATTTTGAGTTAGTTAATTGCTTTCACTTTTCGGAGTTTTTATTATTACTCTAAAAAACGACGTAACGTTTACTTTTTGTATTTATTTAGCCCTTTAGCTTTACAATTTTTCTGACAAAATGTTTAAACATTAAAACTGGCTGCTGAAAACGTTTTGTAATAAAAATTCAGGCAATTGAAATTATTTGGATCGCTTCTGCATAACTACGTCAAATTTTAATTTGCTTTAAATTGACAGAAGTCCGAATATAATGTATATTTTCGTACCTTTAATAAATATTCTTCGACAAACTGTGTTATTATTTTGTAGTTGTGAAAGTTGAAAACATCAACTGAAAATCCATCGTTCATACGCACCCCACACCTTACCACAATAAAATTATAAATAAAACGACGAAATTGGTAGAGTTACGATGTTTCGCTTATTTATTGGTTTCAGTGGATATTACAAAACGTTCTTTCCACGTTCATTTATAATTTCTTAGTAATATTTTACATTTTTCTAAAAGAAAAGAGTTAAATCAAAACCTACACATTGTTTTTATTCCTAGGACTTCTGTTACATCTCTGGAACTTTTTGAAGAATTATTAATGTTCTACTCCTAAAACATTCCCTTTTACAAATCACTAAATTATTGCTAAGCTTTCCGGTCATTACTCTATTCTAGTATAAGTGTCGAAACACAAAACTGTGAATTCGCAACGCAGAAAACTGCGACGCGAATTGCTGCGATGCGATTTCGTGCCACAAGGCATCTCACTGCCACGATTCCGGTAACCATTCCATCGATCATCGCCAACCACACTGAACATATTTTTAAACTAAGTAGCGACATGGATCGTAAAAAGAGTTGCACTGCTGTTATTGATAAGAAAGTATAGGAAATAAACAAAGAAGATTAACATTGCAGGAATGCGCGATGCGGAGCAATTCGCAAATTCTTGCGATGCGTTGTGCGAGCTCGTAGATTTCGTCGCATCGCAGTTTTGTGTTTCGACCCTTAGTTCATTACGAAACTAGAAACTCTAAGACGCCGAAGTCAAGAGTATATTGATGACAAAAATTTGTTTTCCTATCCTAATCAAGCTTTATAAATACTCTAGGCATCGTCGAGAGCCATAACTGATTTACATTGACAGTGACTAGCAACCAGTAGGGCTAGCACGACAGGACGCGACTTGCCCGAGATACTTTATGCGAGAATAGCAACATCTCGTGCTTTATGTCGCTTTCGCGCAAGTCGCGTCAGTCGTGCTAGCCCTACTGTATGCCCAAGGCTAGTACTGGACCATATTGTTTTCATTAGTAGTTATACATTCTGAAAATAAATATAATGGCAACAAATGGACGCTCTAAACAGTATCGTTTCGTTAGAATAGTTACAGTCGTGCTTCCGGCCTACGCATGCTGTAAGCGCACCCACGGATCACATGATATTCTATATAACAATCGAATAAAAAGTGTTAAGAAATGACACTATGTAACTTTGTACCCACATCGCTCACCATCCGTGTCATAGCCGTAAGCGCGACTCATAGTCCAATATAATTTGACATATCAAACTGTTTTTAATTATCTATTTTTTACTAGATAATCAAATTAGACTTAGCAATATGCCTGAACGGAGTCCAGACGTTTATATGGCCTAATTGATGCACATCCTATTATAGTAGGAATTGTTTCAAATGAACTTGAATTTCACTTATTTGAAGGAACAACATGAGCTATCTTTTATCTATCTTTTAAATATTATATCTATCTTTTAAATAGTAACATTGTATTCTTTGTTAAGCCGAACCACTTATCTTCAGTTTAGAATTAAAAAGAAGAAAACAAAAATTTCGTTCAAATAGCGCTTTTACTGCCAACGCCAAAAGGATTAAATTTGCAATGATTGTTCATTTAAATTACGACGTTTTGAATTAAAAGTAATAGCTGGGTTGCTGTTAGGGTATTATCACTCGCAACGCATTGATACTTGTTATTTACAATATTTTAATTTTGCTACGGGCCATATTACGATGCAATAGTTATTGGACTCATAATGCCAAAAGATAATAGATTTTTTATTAACCTATTATTCTCTGGATAAAAATTAGAACAATAAAAAATCTCTACTTAACTACTTGGAAACATAAAACTAAACTCCCAAAGAAAAAATATCAAGTATCAAGATGTTGCACGCCGGTTTGCGCGTGGCATAACAAAGAATATAATGCTATTGTTTAAAAGATAAGCGCTCAAGTGGGTTCGGACATTTCAAATAATTCTTACTATACAAACAACCACCAGTACTATTGTCTAAACTCCAAGCTAATGAATCACTCGAATAAAACGTAACTTCAAATATTAACCTTATATTTAAGTAATTTTCAGTTTAGTTTTCTGTACCTAATTTCAGTGGCAATTTCTATTATTTAAATATTATCATGAAGTACTATTTAATATAGGAGTGTACAGTATTAACCTGAAATATGATTTCATATTTCACGACAATTTATTAGAACACTAAAATAATCAAAATTGCCGCCAAAATTAGGTAAATAAAAACTAACATGAAAATTACCCCTAAACTGTTAGGTTAGGTTAGTATAACGTCAGATAATTCATTCGAAGTTCAACCGTTAAACGCAAACAGCTGCGATGCTTGGACTTTAGAAAACAGTAGTAATTGACTTTGCATATAGGTATGTACCAAAGAACTAAGTATTAAATGTTGTTCAATATTAGTCAAAAATCCTAAGAACCACGTAGTGTTATTCTGGTAATGCATAATACATGGGCGTAATAGAATAACATTCTAGTACCCAAGAACCTCGCACTCTCTAAATGCATTTACAAAACTTAAGGGTATTTTTAATTTTGCACACCCACTGGCGTGGAAATACATACACATAAATAAACAATTACATATGGTTCTACTTTATTTATGAACAACATTCTAATTGGTGATAAGGATGATAACATGAAGCAAATGACTTAAAAGTTGAAAAGCAAGTCCACCTTCACACTTTGCCTAGTTTAAAACTGGTGAAATAAAAAAAAGTTAGGTATTGGTTTTTAGGAGTGCGATCATCACTTAGAATAATTGTTCGCTTAATAAGAAATATCTCATAGGATGTTTCAAAAGGATGTCATTCAGCTTTAAAGTTCTTTCTATCTTGTTGGTCAACGTAAACAAATCAATTATAATTATCTCACTGTAAATGAAACAATTTTTTCTGATCTTAAACCGCGTATATTTATTTATTAGAAACAAACCAACGCTTAGTTCTATGACCATGGCACCTTTAAAGAGCCCGAAACGTTGGTTCATCATCATCAACCCATTTATACGCGCCACTGCTGGCACAGGTCCCCTCTCGGAAAATGTGTGAGGTCCTTGCATTGATCCAACGTGACGCACTATGGCCTGAACCCTCAAAATGTTGGTTAGTTTGAAAAAATAAATACACGCAATTTTAGATCCATAAAATAATTTTCATTTCCAGTGCTGGCATTATACATGGGTATTTGTGTTTGTGTATTTGGAAAACAATCACTATATGTGGATAGTGTGTGTGTATTTGCTCCGTTTGTCTATTCGACAAATACAGCAAGCAAGTAAACCTTGTTAGTCGACTAAGCGGCGTGCAAATAAAGAAAACTCATGGCTTGCAGAAACAGCATTTTCCGCTCAGATTTAGTGATAACGTGTCTAGGTCGAAATTACCATAAACGCCTTTTTTATATTAAACAACATCACATACATTCGATCCCAAAGTAAGTAACCTGTGTCATGGAAATCGGAAACAACGGGTTACGGTTCGTAAGATATAATAATAAATGACATAATTTTGGTCGATATAACTCTCAACGGATATAATTAATTTATGATATACAGACATTTGACATATTCTTGCATGACATAAAGGTCATTGGGTATAATAGACGATTGATATAACAACTTTCCGATGGCATAATGTACAATTTATACAAACATTTCAGATATAACATTCACCGAGTATAATGTATTATAATCACAGTGTTTTTAGGTTGAATGACGAGCACAGCGAGGAGTACTAGGCTAGAAAATACATAAATCATCTTATAGAACTGATACTTCCCCTCGCTTAGCTTAGAACTAGAAGCGAGCGTGTCGCGGCAGCGGCTGGCGAAGCGCCACTACTAAATTTCAATGACAAATCCTATGTTTGGTATGAAAACGTAATTTTTTTTCGTTCTTAACTACTACTTATTGTAATAGTTTATGTCAACGTAAACTAGTAAAAAACATACCCACACACAAGCAATAATAAATAAAGAATCGTCATGTTTCTCTTACACGTATATTTGCTCATTTATTCACATAGGCGCTTCAACTATTTGTAAAACGAAATAATGTATTTCTAATACATTATACTGGTAATACTTATACCATTAGTTCATTACGTCAAGTAAGTCAAATAATCATTTATTACATAGATTAAATTTTTACACTTGAACAAGTCATTGTTTAAGCCACTGTTATGTATGTTACCTAATAATATCTAATGTTTATTATACTGAAGGTTTATTATACACATTGAAATTATGCCTTTTGTTGTTATACCTCTTATTGATTATATTCAATGAGTGATTATATCCTTATAAATTATATGTGAAGATAGATTATTTATTGTTATATCTTTCATTACACACCCGAAACAACGACGGTACCACAAACACTCACACCCGAGACAATATAGAAAAGCCAATTTTACTACATTTTACAACCCGGGCTCTCATAAATGGCGACACCATGAAAACCGGTGTGCAAGCCACTTGACCACGGAGAACGTGAAAATGCCAAATCAAAATTAAACCAAAATTGCCAATGATTTGTCCTTGGCAAAACGTGTAGATCAATTTCATAATATCTTTTTGAAACATCGTATCTTATTGAAATATCTTACGTAAATAATATACAAATACATTAACATAATAAGACAATACGAATTAACCATTAAATTTATTCAATTACACACATCAGTCGATCTTCGAAATGGCATTTGTGCCATTCGACACATTCAAAGCTTGTATTGTATTACATAGTGTAAAAAGGGTCAATTACAATTGAAAGGTAAGAAGGAACAAATTGAAATGGATTAAAAAAGTTTCCATTATTTTATTAAAGTTGCAATTAACCCGATATTACTTGCAAATATGTAAAGTACAAACTAGATCTAAATGTTTCGTCTCGTAAACAATTTAACTGTTCAGTAAAGTCTGAGAAAGGCAACTAGTCCGTTTAAAGTCTAAGCAAGAGCATATTCATACTCGATTCGCTATCAACTAGGAAAAAATATTGCTTCTCAAACTGAACCAAGTTAAAGGTTTCAGTCTGTCCACCAGCTAATAATCCGGTAACCATAATTCAAGTTGCGAGCCAGAACTGCGTCTGAATTCAGAAATCATATTAAAAAACGCCCACCATCACAATTTTCGTTACAAAACTAGAACCACGATGCGTATTTCTTAAATCAATTTATTCATTGTTACTCCTTTCCACTGAAGGACACACCGCAGACTTTTTAAAACATGATCACCAAATAAAAATAAGGACGCGAATTGGTTCTATCTGGTTATTGTACAAAAAATAAAACCCCTATATTGTTACAAAATATTTACAACAAGTCCTCGGTCTGTTATCTATTTACAATCGCTTAAAAAACTAATTCTGTGTAAACACAACATGCTTCTGTCGGAAATAATTAAAAAAGAAATGCTAAAATTACACCTTCGTAGATAGAAAACTAGTACTTAGGGTAAAATAGTCGCCGACTAACAAATTAAGTTAACAAGATATAATGCGCCAGCACGTGAACGTCTTTAAAGACGCACCTTAATGCAACCTAAAGATTTAAATTAGTGCAACTTACATGGATGAAAGCTCGATGGTCGCGATGTCTGTCCTAACCTGTCCACGACACTCGACTGGTTATCGTGTCGCCAAACGGGCACCGCGAGCAGCACGCAACGTTCAACGTGTTAATAGAGTCGATAAACTGACTTAGATTGCAATTCAAAATGCATTAATGTGGTGCAACATATAGACTCCTACGTAATTTATCGCAGCCATAAAAACAGGCGCATATTTTCGTAAATCACCATTCTTTGTCGATTTATTATACTCAGCAATAAAAATATAAAGTATGAAAATAATTAGTATGTTATAATTATTAAGAGTCGATACTACCTCAGCTCGAATTCAAATTTTTTTTTTGTAGTTTTTCTATAGCGAAAATTTTTTGGAATGGTGTTTTCACACCATTAGTAATCAGTGTATATCCTCAATTTTACTACAGTCTGTTCCAATCCATTTTGAACAAAAAGTAAACAAACCTGTTTGGTTAAAATTCTAAAGCAATCACTCAATAGATCGAATAAGTAACACTTTCACTTTCGAAGATTTCCACTTGATATATCATCACTTTTTCCAACAATATTAATTTGAATAGCATCGTTAAATCGTATTTGAAAAATGGTAGTCCAAAAGTGAGGTTATTATTCATCTATACTTCTATGGCTTGCCTATGGTTGCATAGTGCTGTTAGAAAAAAAACATTCGGTTCAATCAATTAAACTTTAATAATCGATTATTAAATCGAACATTTGAATCGCAATCGAACGAGTATCTAAGTGTAAGGATTTGGAGGATTTAAATTGAAATTTTAAATATGCTTATATAGGTTATATAAGGAAAACCGTTATTACGACCCTATTGAACAAATCGATTCATTCAATTAATTAATCGATTTGTAGTTGGCATTACAATTGGCCATCACTAAACAGTCTAGTCTAATCTAGTCAGGTCGGGTCGGTGACTTATTTGTTTACTTTTTGTTCAATATGGATTTAAACGAAGTTTTTTTTTTTAAACTGATTTATTCAACACTTTCACTGTTACGCCGATTAAACCAAAGCAATTTGTATGAGGTTGTACAGACTCTTAATAAAAGATCGAGCACAAAGGAAAATTCCTTCGATCTGACAGGACTCGAACCTGCGTCTGCGCCATACCACAGCGGTCGCCCCGGTCGCCGACCAAATTAATTTTTCTTTGTGCTTGATCTTTGTATTAATAATTTTAACAAAATAGTGTAGTAATTTCACAAAAAAACGAATATCATGGTAATAAACATCATAATATTCATTACAATAATTAGTATGTATCAAATTTAATTGCAATAACGCAAGAATTTAATCCTTTCAATACATTAAAACGGCCCCCTGTAAAGTTACGACTATTTACACAGCTACGTAGGAGAGATCGATATGCCTTTGCCGCTCCTCTAAACAGCCAAGATCACAAACAATCGTTGCCAGTTTTCGAGCGATCTATGTAAAAACATTCTAGATGGAAATTAAAATAACTATTAGGGTAACACAAATGCTGTTGGTTTTTGCACATAGTAAAAACAAAATAACATTTTAAAATACTAAATTTCTTGCAGTCAATTTTTTTTCTTTCGAAAAATTTAAAAACAAAAAATAACAAATTGAGCTACACTATGACGTCAAACAAAAGGTGAAACAGTCGAAAATGTTCTATCTAGTAAGTCACTTTTTTTTTTATTACAACCACTTATAAACTGTAGTTGGATAGGTATAGGTCTAGGTAGGTATATAATCTTAAAATTGCTTTTGCGATCACAAAGGCTGATTAGCAGTTCCATATTCTCTTTAACTAAACCTACAACATTGTAATCTGCCTACAAACTATTTTGGACTGGCGGCAGCGGAAGTATGGTGAGTAAAGTATCTCGTGACTATCAATATTTCATATTTCCTAATAATAAAGGCTTAAGTTTAAAGGGAATTAAGTCCGTATATTATCTATTTACACTGTTATAACGGACACAGATCGGCCGTCGTCAATGGTGTCTCGGGTAATGATGTCCATTGTTGTATCTAGAAACAAACAATTACACACCTATACTCAAAACACATACTTGTTGGAAATAGCTTCTAAAGCTTCTAACTATAAATAATCTAGCTTGGCGCGTTCTATGTATCTTTGTTAATTTTATCTAACAACAGCCACATGCTTGAATGAACAAACTCACAAATAAGCAACTACCCATTTATTGTAGAATAATTTACTTAATTTTTGTCATTCGTCGCCTCAATTGTACTTGTATTTTGTTTTTGTTTTTCTTATGTTAAGGGAATGTAAATTCTTAGTGAGAAATAAACCTAAATAGATCTGATTACTACTGAACTCCGTATACAGAGTACTAAATATTTTCCATATCTATTAACATAGTATCGAAATTACATTAAGACAGGGTTAACTTTAGGGGATACTTAAGTTAAGGGTGTTAACACCCTTAACTAAGGTATCGAAATTACGAGACTTTGATTAAATAAAAAAATTACCTATTAAATCGCTTGTACTTGTTGTGATGCTTGTTGAAGTGGTGCGGCGGACGGCGATCACCGCGGTACTTGAAACCTCCATTCCAGTGCGGCTTGTTCTGTTTCTCCTACAGCCACAAGAAACAATATTAGAAGAAAATAGAAAATATAATTTCATCTAAAGACAGCTAAGAAGGTGATTCCATATGAAACACTGTTTCGGTTTTGCTGTTTCTTTGGTGTAAATTAACCGTGGTACACCGTTCCATTATCGTCAACCGATTTATACGTCCCACTGCTGGGCACATATCTCCTTTCAAGTTTAGGCCATAGTCCGCCACGCTGGCCCAATGCGGGTTGAGGACTTTACACTTTTCCGAGGGTTGTGAGCCTTATTCAACATGCAGGTATCCTCACGTTGTTTTCCTTCCCTGAAAAGCTCATAGTAAATTTCAAATTACATTTCGCACATAAATTCCGAAAAACTCATTCGAACCCGCGGCCTCTGCTTGAGTGGCGGTAGTCCTACCATTAGGCTACCATGGGTCCATTCCATTTCGTCAGTGTAATTCCATAATCTTATAAATTAATACTATGTTATGAGAAAGACTAGGGGATTAACAATAGTCTGCTTTTAAATAAAAATTACCTGAAAGGGGTTATAGTGGTTCCTGTTATTATTGAACCGGTTGTTGTAGTGGTGGAATCGCTTCACTTTCTTGGTGCGTCCACGGTCCATGTCGTCGATGCCATCCGAAGCACGCTTGCGCTCATCGCGTCTCTCCTCGAACACCTGTGACAAATATAGACATGTCACTAAGGTCTTTGTAGTAGATATACAGTGTTTTTTTAAATGGGACAGTATGCCGAAATCCATAGACGATACAAGGAAACTGTCTAAGAAACCATTAAGTATTTTTTGTGAAAAAAATTTTTTGGTCAAGCGTGAGTTGTCCAAAAAAATTAGTTAAACTGATGAAAATGTTTAGTGCTGTGATAATTGTTAGTGCTGATCGACTCAGTTTTATGTAAGGATCATTCCATTGTACGGGACGAAAAAAAATTGGAACAGCAGAAGTTAGTCAAATTTCATAAAATGTTTTCATACAAAATGAATAAAATTTTTGAAACACTTCTGCTGTCCCAATTTTTTTTATCCGATACAATGAAGAGATGCTTATAAAAAACTGAGTTTAGCATTAAAAAAACAAGTGACAGATTGATTAGAGTGATTTTAAAGTTTCTAGCTAATATTTCATTAATTGTTAAAAATGTTATATTGCGGAATGGTAACCTACCTGTCGTGACATAGCACTTTGTGTGCCGTTCCATGAAGACACGGATGCGCCGTAGCCTCGATGCGACATGCTCTGCAGATGGCGCGCCGTTTCGATGGCGCCGGCTGAGGGCGTGGCGGGTGCGGAGTGGAAGGCCGGCGCTGCCGTTGCTGCCGCCACTGCCGCCGCTGCCGCCGCCGCGCTCTCGCTGCGATCACTCAGAGGTGACATGCTGCTCACACTCGTGTTCGGACTCTGCTCATCGCCGCGACGCTCTTCTTTCTCCTTTACCCTAAATCAATATTAAATTCGTATTGAAACCTTAAAAGCAAAAACTAAGAACAAATTGTTACAGGGGCACATATACGGAGGCAATAATTTCTCGAGGACAACCTTCGGATAATCCAAAATAAACGATCAAACAAAACAGAATAACTTGTACATCCGTTCCAACTTACAGTCATTCCGACTTTAAAATATTATTAAAAAAAACAGCGTTTTCTTGAAAATTCGACGAAACGTTCCCGTTATACATTTATATATCACTTTTTTATTTGAGACCGCAAAATAGTTGTTGGTTACATCACATGAGGTAACCCTAAATATTTTTATGTCAAGGTAATGCAGCAATACAAATGAACATTATTGTAATATACGATACTTACTTCTTAATAGTATCTCCATTAAGACTAGGGCTCAAAAGGGGTACATTGTTCTCATTGGAGACCGTCCACGCGTGATGCATTCCTTTCGTAGTAACAACCAAGCCCTGCGGCGACTCACATCTGCTTGGTTTCGGTTTACGCCCCTCTTCTTTTGGAGTCTCTTTTCTTCTATCGTCACTAAGTCTCTCATTTCTTTCGTCCCCACTCGACTCTGAGTCGTAAGGGACTAACTTCGAACCCGAATTCCCATTATGTTGGGAATGATTTGAGGAATCGCTTCTGTTCATTTGCTCTTCCAACTTTTCTAAAGGCGATTTTTGTTTAACCAATTTACTTGTTGAAGCGGCCTTGTCCAGGCTCCTTCCATTAGTTATCGCAATAGTTCTCATATCGCAATCACTCTTTGGAGGTTTAGGTTTAGCATTATCATCAGTGTACTTCCTCTTTATGAGGAAACTTAATTTGTTTTCCTCATCAGGTTTCTTATCTTTGCCATTAGTAATTGAAGTAACTTTTTCTACATCACCATTCTGAAATAAAACCCATGGGTCTGGGTTAGAGTCTGACTTGCTCAATGTGCTGTTCAATATTATAGGTTTGACTTCAGGTTTCGTGGCTTCTGTTGATGTACTGTTAAGGGTAGGTTTCCTATCTTCGTTTCGGTAAAATGTGAGTTTTAGTGGACTCTTTTCTCTATTGAGAATGTTATCAGGAAGTTGCGGGCCGTAGACTGCACTGGATGTCGATGCGGTGGGGACGGAAGTCTCTTCTGCAGTGTTATCTTTTTCGAAGAACATAATATAGGCGTTTGTTCCGAGTACAGCAGAAAGAGGTAGTGGACGCACGCAGCTATCGTCAAACTGGTAATAGTTTCCATTGGGAGCTTGGCCTATTGCTGTGTAGTGACCGCAGTTTTGCGAAGGACCCAGGTGCGTAACTAGACTTACTAGTTTGTATGACTGCAAAAGAAAATTTTATTACGTTAGGATATTTTACTTCGTTAAAATTTAAACAAATAAGATCCGACACACATACCAATTGCTGCTGTGTATTTTTATTGTACATGTACTTGCTGAGCGAAATTTTCTTTCGGAACTGTACATGCTTGGAGAGTTTACCGCCGGCCAGCGAAAATCGCTTCAGTGCGATGCAAAGCACCATCGGCGCTCGCTCCACGAAGAACTGCTTCGTTGCTGACACCTGTTTAATGTAAATTTAATCAGGGTAAAACAAATGTTTATGGAAATATGATTATTCAGAAATGCATATTGCGCAAGAGTTAACAATCATTAATTTTCGTTACTTCCAAATAAAATAAACTCTCCACTGTACAACAAACAAGCGTAAAAGTAATATGACCGTAAATATCGTCAAAAAGCAAGAAATAATGTACTTTACCTTTTTGTTACAAGCCTCACACTTATATCCTAAATCTTCTAGCCTTTCACGTGAAAAAAATGAATCTAAAGCTTCATCCAGAGTTGAATGCTTTCTTATATCCAGTAGTAGATCCTAAAAAACAAAAATCTCTCTCAAACATCATCTCAAATCAAATAATTTTTTAAAACGATTTTTTTTAACACCATAATTACAGTTATAATAGCAATCTTCTAAAATCTGGCAACCTTTGGAAGACTAACAACCACGAAGTTAAGCATAAATAGAAGAATCTCACTAGCTGGAGCAGCTTTTCTGAGAGCTGTCTACACACTTACTGGGATACCGAAATGACTTGTAAAGGTCGTTTGCATCAGTTATTAGACCATCATTTGAACAAAAGTATCTTGAGGGAAGAATAATAAACTTTTTCTTTTTGTGCGGCGAAAATCACACTACCATCCCAGAACAATTTTCAGTGATTTTGTTTTAAATTTACAAACTGAGCAATAGTTGTAAGGTAATTAAGATTCTTGCATTGACATCATAGAATATTTAGGAAAATTATGTATCAATAATACTTCATTCCTTCATGGAAAATAGTGATAGACGTAATAATATGAGGAGAAACCTTAAGGAAAAACACTTCAACAGAGTCATCTTCCTAAAAAATTAGTTTATTACTTTTTCTCTAATTAATTCCCTAATAATTGAAATTATCCATTATTAAAGTGTATAGTTATGAGTATGCCCTTGTAGTACCTACCACAGATGTAAATGTGAGTACAACCTGTATGAATAATACCTAATTTAATAAGTAAAATGTAAAATCTATATTTTGAATAACCTACACAGTAAGTAAGTAAGTAATCTGTAACAGTGTTTCTTGATAAAGCTTTTGTAATACCTTTGATTCAGTGAAATTTCATAGTAATTCAAAAAGATACCTGAAAATGTTGATAGGTGGTAGATAGGTGATGGCAAGCCAAACAGCGTACCGTTGAGCGTAAATAACCTCCCAGAATTTGATTCAGAGGAGTGGTCTCCTTACTGTACTGGTCTAGTTTGTCAAAGTTTATGAATCTTGACAGGTAACATTTCTCCATTGCTTCTACCAGGTACCTGAAGTAATGACAAATGCTATGTAAAATACACACAATTATGTTTTCTAAAAGCAAAGCCTAGTCAAAAAAAGACACCAAAACCAAACAAGCACAAAGCCAACTTCCAAGCGTCACGCCTACTAACAATGCTAGTTTGAAATCAGTGTAGCCAATTCAAAATTCTACAAAAAAACCTGGCTTTACAATTCTAGGTACAGAGTACTTTTTATTTTATATATTTCACTATGTTGGTATTTTTACATAGAGTCAAATTGAGTCAGTGAAATTTCATAGTAATTCAAAAAGCATTTTATTTTTTATTTATTTAATTCACGCAAAACCAGTACTTGAAACATGTTCTCTTGTATAAAATAATATAATGCAGTAATAAAATTAATCTTTTATTTAAATGCAACAAGTTCATAATTATAAGCATATTGTTTCATTGATTTCATTAAAGTTGCATTCTATTGTCTTTTAATATGGTTGAACATCATGATATCCAATAAATTTAAATTATAATTAAAAGTGATTTATAATTTGTTGCTTAGTGTTAATGATTATGTTAGTTGGTTATAGCTATGTACAAATTTGTCTATCCAACGTAACTATTTTAAACATTAGTGGAAATTGTTTTGACTAGTATTTGTTTCATATTTGTTAAAAATGAAATGTGATGCTGTATGTTTCCCAAAAAAAAAATTATATATTTACCGTATTATAATTTAAAAAATATATAATATAGTTTAAATAAAAAAATAAGCAAAGTACTTCAATAAAATAAAAAAAACATTAAAAGAAAAATTATATCAAAATGCCTAGCATGTGCAGAATTCTTAAGGCAAACACATAATATAGATAATTACAACTGTGTACCTTAGGAACTCGTGTGCATCTTCCTGTCTGCCAGGAGTAAGATGTCTGCAGATGAGGCGTAATTTGGAATACACCTGCCAAGGCTTGATCAGTGCACCACCACTCTTTTGAGTAGCCATTAATGTGGCTCTCATGCCACAAATCACACATGCTTCTGTAAACACAATACAAATATAAAAGAAAAAAAATATTTATTGTACATAAGAAATGGGTACAATTACAGTAAAAAAGATACTTAATTTTATTGACAAACTCTGTGGTAGGTGTGTGGTGGTGGCACTCTGGTTTTTATGATGCCGCCGTGTCTGAAGTCCCGGGTTCGATCCTCGGCCGGGTGAATGTACAAAACTAGATTTTTCTATATTGCCTCTGGTCTAGGTATTTGTGGTACCTTGTTTCCAATTTCCATTGCACAAGTGCAATATTACTTAATTTGGAGTCAGAGCACACACACACATTATGTAATGTTGTTGTCTAATTACGTATTGAACCCTAAGGGCGCATTTATTCGACATGAATTTCAACGCGCTCACGCCGTGCGGAGACGGCAATGCCGCCGTGCGGAGACGGCAATGCCGCCGCGCAGCGACTGCGTGCATCTAACTGTCATGGCAAAATATGCTTTATTCATTATTATTATGTGCTGGATTATTATAATGTTACAGCCTTTGGTTGGCTGGGAGAGATCTCCTTTAGAGATAAGTCCACCTTCGCTCACATTTTCTATAATTTATATTTCTTTTGTATTTGTTTGGTGATACACATATTACATATAATAAAGAATAAACTTTATAATCATTATGCTATTGACTTAACAATAAATACGTAATAACTTTGTACTTAGTGGTCAGTAAGTACTGTAATGTATTTTTGGTATTGATTGAATATTACATTTTATCAGAAAATTTAATTTCCTATAAAGAATAACACCAAAAGTACTTTGCAGGTTACTAACACTGTATTTATATCTCAATTGTGTATCACAAAAAAATATTATATATCTGTTTAAGACAGATCAAGAATTGCTAATAATATAGAATAAATAAATGATTATGAATTACTTCAAATTAATTGTATTTATTAATATCAGCTGTGGTTTTATTACTCACCTACACTTGCTAGTCTTAGATACACAATATGAGATAAATAAATAAATTATATAAATTAAAAACAATTTTATAAAAATGTCTATCTACCTTTCCATATCCAACAACAAAATGTGATACAATACAACAGGTGGTAAATTAGATAAGAATCAGATTCTTAGTATATAAACTAGTAAGGCATACAATGTTACAGTCAAATTGAAAAATATACTGAATTTAAATTAAAATTATAATATTAACTTGTCAGTTTCCGAGACCCATAAACATGGGACTTGTCAACTTACGTCTCTGGGTAACGGATGCAGTAGCAGTGCCCACAAGATTTTTGCGATTTAATGCTCCAAGTGGCACTAAAACTGCTTACTACAAAGTGCACAACTTGTTTGTCTCATCACATGGTATTATAAACAAAAATTTAAATTTATAGACATTAAAAATTACCAAAATGGTTAAGGACACAGAGTGTCTCTAGGGCGCATGACAGGTTAAAAGTTAGTAGATATGGATTTCACAACTTACCTTGCTGATTACATTTCTCAGCATGGGTAACTTCAGAGACTAGCCAGTTGGCCAATGCAGGCACATGGAACAGTGCCTGAAGGGTTGAGTTCAGGTAGCAAGTGTTACCAACATTCTGCATACCAGCACCTGCTGCCCATGCCCCCTGCCAACCCAACTGGACTTTCTCAACGGGGAACAACACCCGTTTCGGTTTCGGCAAACCGTCTTCACCATTTTTTGTAGCATCTAAAATCAATACACAAGCAGATCAATCATAAACCGCCAACAAGATAAAACCAGCCTAACATCAAATGACGGTACAAGTAAACAATATTTATAAATCTAGAGAGGCACGTGTATACAAAGGACTCTCATAACATGAAAAATATCACTACTGATAAATATTGACAGCGTTTGAAATATAACCTCTAATTCGATCTTATCGTCCGACATACCTACAGGCCGAAAACAACTAAATAGTGTAAACATCGTTTGTAACTACGTACCTGCAGTCTGATTAGAAGAAATGCTTTCTTTTTTCAAAAGCTTGCTTTCCAGTACAGGTTTTTTAGGTCGAATCACCACGTACTTAGACTTCAACCCGTCGAGAACATTGCTTTGGTAATCTCCTGATTCTTCAAAATCAATCTTGGATAAGAGTGCAGTTTTAGCTGAAGAATAGAGTCTACTGTCCAATAACGATGAACTTTGGGATTCATCTGCGGTAAGAGACAAACGCAATGCGCTTGATACTGGGTCGCAAATGGAAGCGGGCATTTTACCTCCAAAACTGCACTATCACGTTATCAAACCACGGTACGACACATTATTTATTTGGCTCACAAACACTTGTTAGTAATAAATATTTAACAGAAATCCATGAGATCTTCCGTAACCATGTGTATTTCAAAAATAATATCACGGAAAAAGAAAATGTAGCCTCCACGACAACCGCGACGTCTATTCAAAGACAAACGCGTGAAGAAACATACGGTTTCATAGACTAAATTAACTCGTATGCAAACTTACGAAGATTTATATTACACCACTTTCAATTCAGTTATTATAATCCTAAATATCGTATTGAATATTGTGGGTGTTATTAAGTTTTGTTCAAAATGACCTTTTTTTTTTGAATGGCTTGGGTTGGAGCATAGAATAGACAATACATTAAAGGACTGTCCACACATATCCAGGCCGTGCCCGGGACGTGGACGGGGCGTGCTAGTTTCTATGAACTGCGTACCCGTCCCGGACCCGGACATGTGTGAAGGAGTTCATACAAAATATAAGCAGCGATATTTTTTTGAGCCCTTGTTGACGGAGCACGGCCCGTCCATCCCGGCCACGGCCCGAGCTTATATATATATATATATATATATATATATATATGTGTGGATAGACCTTTATTCATAGACTAAACAATGACACTTGTCAAAATCACAAAAAAAAAATTGCTAACCTACTCCTAGCTCGAGTGCGATTTTTATTTTATCAAGTAAATGGAAATATTTTGCACCGAATCAATCGTCCGTGTTTAGCGCTTGGCTAAACAAAACCCTTCACTTATTTTATATAGTAAATGCCGGCTTTGTAAGAGTCCGGAAAAGGTAGATTTTTCGATAGTGCGCGCCGGTGAAACTGTGATCATGGCGAATCCGTCATCAGGCGTTGGTAAGATTTTGATTTATTTTTGTCATCAGGTATTTAACTTTCGTAATAAAAATACACACAATATTCAATTTAGTGACTATAAAGTTGTGCTGTGTTGTAATTTTTACATTTCTCTCTTTGTATAGTGGTACCACGGAACTTTCGTCTTCTAGAAGAACTTGAACAAGGCCAAAAGGGAGTGGGTGACGGCACTATTTCATGGGGCCTAGAGAGTGATGATGACATGACTCTCACTCACTGGACTGGAATGATCATTGGCCCTCCTAGGGTTAGAATATTTTTTTAATGACGAAAAGTAACTCTTTGTTATGATATATGGTTAATGTACTATTATTGTTTACAGACCCCATATGAAAATAGAATGTATTCTCTCAAAATTGAGTGTGGCACTCGGTACCCGGATGAACCTCCTACTGCTAGATTTATCTCTAGGATCAACATGAACTGTGTGAATAGTCAGACTGGACTCGTAAGTACTAATTCAATATTCTAGAATAATCTTTGTGAGTTACGTACATTATATGAATCATTTTATTAAAGGATTCTGCACATTATTTATTTTATACAACATTGTTTGGCAAGGCTGTGAGTGGAATGTAAATTATATTGTTTCTATAGAATATGTTTTGAACAGGTTGATAACAGGCAAGTCCCGATCCTTGCACGATGGCAACGCGATTATACTATCAAGACAGTTCTGCAGGAGCTGAGACGTCTCATGACACTCAAGGAGAATATGAAGCTTTCCCAGCCTCCAGAGGGAAGCACCTTCTAGTTTCTCTCTACAATATATGTCTCAATACACCCCAATCTACTCACTTTGATTCTCTGCTTACTAAGTAGCTGCTTTACTTAATATTGGTTTGTAGTACCATTTAATCTTTCCAAGAAAATCTGGTTTCCGCTCCTTGCATTCTTCTTAGTAAAGCAATTCCTTAACTACTAAACTGTCATAACTAAAATAAATAATTTCATTAAGTCAGTTTAGTAGTGATGCATTTGTGTTTGTTATGCTGCATTACTTTTCACTTTAAGTAGATTGGGTAAATTTGTAATTGTAAGAATCATTTTAAACAGCTCTTGCTACACACTTAGAGGGTAACACCCATTTATTTGTCATATTACCTAAATTATTGTGGCCTTTAAAAAGTTAAACTTGCTTTTGGTATATTTAAGGCTTGTTTTACCAACATCTTTACTTTAGGTAAAAGTGATTCTCATGCCTGTACTTATGAACAACTACCAGTCTAAATATAAACATAATTCTTTATAAAACACCTCTTGAAGTTGTTTATGATTATAGGCATATTTATTTTTAACTACTATCCCATGTCTGAAATTTAAGGGTTAAAATTCTTATTTGTACGAAAATACATTGATTAATCTTATACTGAATTAATGAAGAGAAAATTGATTCATTTTTCTTATAGTTAACATGATCAAGTGTAAAATATTTTAGGAAATTTTTTTTCTTAGGCACATAAGATAAAGTACTACTGGTTCTTTATAAAGCTTTGCAAGATATTTCAATGTTTCTTTGAACACGAACAATGCATGTAATGCAATAGTGGAGAAGACGGAGGGGGCTGCCTCGACTAGCGTACGCCGGCGCTGCGCCGCTGGCTCTCCGCCCGGAACGTAAACTTCATTAATTCCCATTGCCCACTACGCGTAAATATTGTTACAAACCAAATGCTAAGTCAAATGTTTCATAGCATTAATATTTTTACCAATGTATAACTAGCAAAGGTAAATAAATCAAACTGTCGTAACTTTTTATTTTATTTACTCATTCTATATTAATAGCAAACAGCACATTTCTAAGGCAAGGAGAGGAGAAGGAAAATGCAAATATAAGACATTTTACATTTATTTGAGACACAAACATTTTAGAAACATTTAAACTTAAAAAAATACGCAGGAATCACTAATAGTCAATGGAAACCTTTAATAAAAAAAGTAGTATGTAAAAATAAATGTTACACATTATTTTCACTGACCATCTTTAACCACAATACTGTAAATCGGACATAAGTACTGGCAAGAAAATAAATATACTGTAGACTCAAAATCAAATATTATGGAAAGAATTTAGTTTCATCCTTATACTATTTACCAATTTAAACAGGCAGACACAATATCATCACTACAAGTTGTGGACAACTTGCATAAGCTTATTTATTGCCAAATACAGATGGCAACCAGGTACACAGTTATTACTTTATTAGAATATTAGGTTAAATGCTATAAGCTATCTCTCTACTACATATAAACAATGTAGGTACTTCAATCTTACAAAACGTAATAAATACAAATGTACAAATACAAAGCTCTCTGAAAGGTTACATATTTTTATATTGCACTATTTAGACCTGTAGCATTTTAAAAAATACAAAAGAATGGACATAACAGAGGACGACGATGGAATATAACAACGGCAATGTTTAATAGTGTGCATATTCCATGGAGACGTAGCTCTGAGGATGGGTGACTGTCGATGTTGGAGACTGGGTAGAATAATGGTCATTTTGCTATTTTCCTCGCGCCTGTATATGACCGAACTGAAGAACACGTAAAAGACGATATTCGCATGGTAACAAGATAGTTACCATGCGAATATATAATACTTTGTAATCTACTGATCTTAAAATTCAACATCTTAGGCTTTGTCAGTAAATGAAAATAGCCCTTATGGTAATTTTATTGGTTCACATGCTATCTAACACAAATGTATACAGAATTTTCATAACGACTGTTTAATATTGGCACAATCTACATTCATTGTGCCTCAGATCAATATAAAATATCACTAAATTCACATATTCTTCGTAATCTTGCAAATAAAAAAGAAAATAGTGGACTCTGAAAACCTTTAAGGAGGTACTTTGAAACTGATTGGAATAATGAATGTCATTCATACACAACACAACTGTGATGTATTCAATATGTAAGGATTTATACAATTTTACTAAACAACCACTCTTTAATTATCCTCTAAATAACTGGAATGCTGACATCCAGCATTGCTAAGATATATAAATAATCCTTAGTTTAAATTATTAGTCGAAAAATCATAAAGAATATGTTAGTAATATCGAACTTCCCAGCACAAAATAACAAGCACCAATAGAATTTCGATATGCGTTTACTTATTTCAAAAACCAACGATAGTAACATATGATGTTGGCAACAATAGTCAAATATAATAGTAGAAATGCACCACACATATAATTTAATAATCTTTGGTCTTGTTATTTTATTGCGAAATTAATGCACCACAACTCTCAATTAAAAACTGTGTAGAGTTTAATTCATCTACTTAATTATTATTGATAGAACATCAACCTAACGACCCATATACATGATAGGTACTTAAGATTATTTTATAATTAAAAAAACAAATTTAACTTAATCTTCATGTATTTGAGATAGACTATTTATTTACAACAATTTAAATATGTACATAGATAATTTAATACACAACATTTAACTTATTTAACATTCCCTTTTTATAATCACAATCGATTTACAAATCAGCAAACAAAACCAGATCAAATAGTGAAATATTTTCAACCAACATTTGAGAAAATGCACAACATCTTAGGATATAAGCTCACTACGTATGAACGTACAAGAAGAGTAAATTGCATGGAAAGAAACATCGTGACTAGGTTACGTAGTTGTTAAACATAAATAGTTTCAAGCAAATGTTTGCACGACAAAACATACTGCTCAAGGTACAACACACTACACACGTGTAAAAGCCCAATAGTGAAACATAAACACGAATGTAGCGACTATTGTTTGCCTGAAGCAATCGTGATGTATTAACGTGTTGATTAGAAAAAAGTTTTAAATGAAACATTATTAATAGATATCTACTACATTTGTTATAGAATTGATATATTTTTTTTAAATAGTCAACAGGTCATTAGCAAAAACGGTATCAGAAAACAATGACGAAGTCTTTAATTAATAATTTCTCTGTATGTGCAGCTAAGTAACATGTAACACCTATGAATGGGTTCAAAAGAGCAACGCTCACTGCACTCTAAAGCTGAGCGGAGAAGTTATGTTTATTCAACCAAAAATCATTAGTGAAAATAACGAATTCCTATTGGTCGTTAGCCACACCAATGCTTTGCTACCCTCCGTTGAATTGTGGGTCTCATGGTATACATACCTTAGAATGACAACGTTCCTTTTTCTCGAGTACATGTACAAAGGTCTCTTCACACTCGCGCGCGATTCACGCGCGAAATCACGGCGCGAGGCACGACGCGGATCGAGACAAGAACTGCCACAGTTCCTCACTGAGTTACTCACAGAGTTTCGCGCCTAGTTCACAGTATAGTTCGCGCGCTTGACGAAGATGGACGCCGAAGTTACTGTTACTGCTGCGGGACTACTTTGCGCTTTGGCGAGTTGCAATTATGCTTTTATGAAGAAAAAAAGATATTAAAAAGAAATGCTAGAACAATCTAAAAATGTCAGTTCTAATTCACTTGTTCAATCCACGGCCATTTTAAGCACGTTCAAATCGTCAACAAGAAAAATACAAAACTGAGCCGCCCGCGAATGTGACGCCAAGTTCGCGCTTCGCGAATGTGACGCCAAGTT